AGCCACATATGTCCACATTTGTGATGTTGTATATATTTATTCAGAGCACGGGGAGGTATGCTTTGTGCCTTCAAGTTATCTGTTGACATGCCAATCCCTTGAACTTTATAGGGTTTGCTTAGGAGACCATGGTTGTGCCAATTCCTTCTTCTAAGATATAGCCAGCAGCTCCTGGTATTGATTAGTAATCTCCCACCCAAGTGCTAACCAAAGCTGATCGTGCTTAACTTTCAAGATCAGATAGGATCTGGTGCCTTTGGGATGTTTAGACATTTTAAAGCTAATAAGTAACCATTCTTAGGTAAAGGTAAAGGTTTTCCCCTGACTTTGGGGTGTGATGCTCATCTCCATTTCTAAGCCGAAGAGCCGGCGTTGTCTATAGGCACTTCCAAGGTCACGTGGCCAGCCTGACTGCATGGAGCGCCGTTACCTTCCCGCCCAAGCAGTACCTATTGATCTACTCACATTTGCATGTTTTTGAACTGCTAGGTTGGCAGAAGCTGGGGATGACAGCGGAAGCTCACGCCGCTCCCCGGATTCGAACCTGTGACCTTTTGGTCAACAAGCTTAGCAGCTCAGTGGTTTAACCCACTGTGACCATTCCTAGCCCCCCCCCCCAATAAGTGCCATTATAATTACATTTAAAAGTTGTTTTCATTTCCTAATTCAACCTGAGAAGTCAGCCATAGTAGAGCACCTGACAAAAGGATATTATTTGCGAACACAGAAATGATGGACCACTCTTACAACCACGATGTCAGACTACACAGAGAAGCCATTGAAATCCACAAGCATATGGACAATTTCAGCAGAAAGGATGAAACCATGAAAATGAACAAGATCTGGCTACTAGTATTTTAAAAACCCTCTAAAATCAGGACAATAAATAAAGAGCAACATTTAAAAAAAACCCCCCAAAAATGGGAATTTCAGACAAGAATCAATCAGGGCCAGCTAACACCTTCCAACAAAGGATTCCCCCAGGAAGCAACTAGCCAGGCTTTGAAGCTGCAAGGCCATGCAGTGCTAATCAAGGGGGCCACTTGTAACATTCCCACTTGCCTCAGAAAGACAAGAGTTGTTTCTCCCACCCTGAACATTCCACAGATATATAAACTTCACTTGCCTAGTTTCCAACAAACCTTGCAACCTCTGAGGATGCCTGCCATAGATGTGGATGAAATATCAGGAGAGACTGCTTCTGGAACATGGCCATACAACCTGGAAAACTCACAGCAATCCATGTCCTTGTTGATAAAAAATAACCAAAAGTTACTTTAAAATAATCTGCATGTAATTAGTCTCTGTCTTGAGATGGAAAATATCTACCTTTCCATTCATGATAGACTAAGAGACATAGCAAACTGTACAATATTGTTTCTCTATTATTAAGGATGAGCCTCCAGAAATTAAAAAAAAATGTCTGGCCGATGGTGATGGAAACTGTTATTCAAAAACATATGAGAGGTCATGGGTCTTGCCTTCCCATTTAACTTAAAGAATTAAAAATTGTAAAGATGTTATTATGAGTGTAATTGCATTGACTGTAACGTAATGTCTGACATTAAGTGATCTAATCCCATATCCTCAAAATAAATTGGGACTGGAAAATGCACACCACATTGTGATTTGAGATAAAACCTATCAGGATCAGAAATGGGGAAACTCCCCAATATATCTCATACTTGAAGAAAATAAAGTTGTTGTGATATCCCAAAATTGGGTGTGGTACAGAAAACTGTTTTTGCCTTCTTCTTCTGTAACTAAAACACAGCCAATAGCTGTCAAGAGCATCAATCATAAATCTTTGGTGAGCTGAAGCAGTGACTTTCAAACAAAAGAAAGCTGCTTGCCAAGGAGACTTGCCCATTATAGCATTGCTCTTTGGAAAAAGCTAAACAACTGGAGGAATTATTTGGGAAGAATGAACTTGTGTTGACATCAACTGTAGCCCCTTTGCCTCTGCCTTGAATACAATCCTGCTGCTTCACGGCCATTGAAAGGAGCATGATCCAATGAAGTCAAGCTATTTTAAGTCCCATTGGCTACAGTGGGAGAGCTCTTACTTAACTCCTCTTGTTATTTTTTATTTATTTATTGTATCAGGAGCAACCCAAGGGTACAGTTGTGATGTATTTGAGAAAACACAAAGTTTAAAAACTTGGCATTATATTAAATGTGCTTTGACCAGTAGCTGGCCACTTGGAGTGCCTCTGGTGTTGCCATAAGAAGGTCCTCCATTTTCATGTGGCAGGGCTCAGGCTGCATTGTATTAGATGGTCTGTGGTTTGTTCTTCTCCACACTCGCATGTCATGGACCCCACTTTGCAGCTCCATTTCTTAAGGCTGGCTCTGTATCTGTTCAGCGCCTTCCAAGTCCCACAGCCTTTTGTGTGCCCAGGAGGGAGTCTCTCATTTGCTATCAGCCATGGATTGAGGTTCTGGGTTTTAGCCTGCCACTTTTGGACTCTCGCCTGCTGAGGTGTTCCTGTGAGTATCTTTGTAGATCTTCTGGTGTGAGACGAACTCCTCTTGTTGATATTTATCAAATGTCATTAGACTGGATTGAAACCAGATATAATTATTGACTGGATCACAGAATATCTTTGGATACATTTTCTCCAATAATTTGACAACTGTCTCCAGGCGGTTCCCACATTTCCTCTACCTGTTTTTAACAAAATGCCCATATGTCCTCACTAGATATTTTCTAGGTTCTCCAGAAAATATCTTTTATGATATGCTATACCAAAAGTTTACCACAGAGTCATGCCAAGGAACCTAATGATGCCTAGAGAGGTGACCCCTTTATGCGTTTCATAGAATCATAGAGTTGGAAAAGACTTCATGGGCCATCCAGTCCAACTCCCTGCCAAGAAGCAGGAAAATTGCATTCAAAGCACCCCTGACAGATGGCCATCCAGCCTCTGTTTAAAAGCTTCCAAAAAAAGGAGCCTCCACCACACTCCGGGGCAGAGAGTTCCACTTGTGAACAGCTCTCACAGTCAGGAAGTTCTTCCTAATGTTCAGATGGAATCGCCTTTCTTGTATTTTGAAGACATTATTCCGCGTCCTAGTCTCCAGGGCAGCAGAAAACAAGTTCGCTGCCTCCTCTCAGTGATTTCCTTTCACATACTTATACATGGCTATCATGTCTCCTCTCAGCCTTCTCTTCTTCTGGCTAAACATGCCCAGCTCTTTAAGCCGCTCCTCATAGGGCTTGTACTCCAGACCCTTGATCATTTTAATTGTAAGTCATCTGTCTCCATGAGTTTCCTAGATCCTTCAGAGTGAATCTATGATATGCTGCTACCAGAGGTTGTTAATTCAGTACAATTCACTATTACCCACAGTTTTGTTTGTCCATGCAAAGTGCTGGAATTTATCCTCCATGGATACAGGGGGTCATACTGTATTCAAAAATCCTTACTGTACAACTGTAAGGGGCATCTGTTTCCCATCCCTATTTTCTAGATATTTAGAAGGAGGAATGGGCAAGAAACCTAGTATGAACTACAAGTATAGAACATACAGGCCACATCCACACTGCCATATAAAATCCAGACTATCTGGTTTGAACTGAATTATATAGCAGAGTAGACTAATATAATCCAGTTCAAAACAGATAATATCGATTTTATATGGCAGTGTAGATGTGGCCTCAGTCTCTTTGGGATTTTGCTGCTGTTGTGACATTTCCTGGCTCTTATATATATAAAAACACCTTTCTGGGTGGGAATATAATGTTGGTGCTGGAATATCACTGAGTATTCAAAGGGGGGGGGGATCATCTATTTTTCAAAAACCCAGAGAACTACAGTATCAAATATAAAGGCCAATACTTAGGTGAAATTTACTTCACCTGGAAGAACCAAAGGGAAGAAACTTGCTAAGAGTCAATGGCTGTTCAGTAATAAAACTGAGTGGATGGGGAGGTGGTAGGGTTTAGATGCCCCCTGTATTAGAATTCCTCTGCCTGCACAATACTTTGTTTTTGTTTCAAATCAGCTTTGTGGTGCAATCTTTCCTGGAGGGAGTGTGAAGAAACCTGCAAGCCACCTGTCTCCATGAGTCTATATAATCAAGTCTATGGGCCTGTTGGGGAGGCAGCGGAAGCAACACATTTAGCAAAAAATACCTGTAAACAGCTGTCTGATGGAGATATAGGACAAAATGGTGGGGGGCTGATGGAGCTCCTGGGGCTGAGGTCCTTCCTCCTCCTCCTCCTCTTTCTTCTCCTTTTTTCTTTGGCAGGAAAGACAGTTTAAAAAGAGAAAATCTAAAGCACCACCGGATTTAAAGCTCACTCCCTTTTTAAAGCCCCTTAAATGGGAAAAGTGTGGCTTTAAAAGTAAAGGTTTCCCCTTGACAGTAAGTTTAGGTGGTGCTCTTCTCCATTTCTAGGCTGAAGAGCTGGTGTTGTCTGTAGACACCTCCTAGGACATGTTGCCGGCATGCCTATGTAGAGTGACATTAGCTTCTTGCCAAAGTGATACCTCTTGATCTACTCACATTTGCATGTTTTTGAACAGCAGGTTGAACAGGTTGGCAGAAGCTGGGGCTAACAATGGGAGCTCACCCCATCTGCAGATTTGAATTACCAACCTTCTAGTCAGCAAATTCTACAGGTTTGTGGTTTAACCCGCTGCACCACTGTGGCCCATCTAAGTTTGCCTTAGATTCAATGAAATACAGAAATTGTTCCTTTCCATCTTTTTGTGATGTGCCTGTTTTGGGTACAGTTGTAGTCATTTGACCTTACTATGTTGATGCGTTTTATATCACATTTGAGTGACTTGTTGCTTTGTAGGATATTTTAAGCAATGAAGAAAAACCATTTAGTGACTTTCATATAATGAGAAAAGGAATACTGTTACAATTGGTAACTAAATGCTTTTGGGGTCTTAATTATAAGTAATTACTTTTCTAATTAATTGCCTATACTCTGACTATTTCTTAAACCTTGCTAACATAGAATTTTCTGTTCTCTCTTCCTCCAGATCATACAAAGCCACCACTTGCACCAAAACCAAAGATTCTCAGTCATCTCACTTCAATAGCTGCTTCCAAACTTCCTCCCTCACTCTCAAAGACTGGCACACTTCATAATTCAAACTCTATGTCTAGGGGTCCAAAACCACCCATTGCTCCCAAGCCAAAAATCTCCACTGACAACGATCCTGCAATTACACAGAGATCAAGTGTCTATGCCAATAATACTTTTAACAAATATAGCAATGGAAAACTAGAGGGAGATGTTTATGAAGGAAACCAGTGTAACAGCACAGAGTGTCCTGAGTCAGAAGTCAATAATGAATATATTGTAATTCTGGAAGCTGAACTGACTGATAAAAGTTATAATGACTTTGAACATGAACAGGGGGAGACAGCAGAGAATGAGATCTTACCCACTTCTGAAGTAGTAGCTGATGAAAAAGACAATTGCAGTGACCACAGTGAGATCTGTAAGATTGAAATAAATATATCAGGCAACACTGACCATGAACTAGTGGGAGATGACACAGCCAAGCCAACTGAAATCCAAGCTTTTGCTGTCTCTGGAGCACCTGAAGAGGAAAAGGAGGATGCATCAAAGGATGACTGTGAAAATGTGGACAGGGAAACAGATCCCAAAGAGGCCACAATGAACTGTTCAGATGAGGGTGGGGAAACATTTCGAGAACTGGATCTGGTAAAGGACAATAATGAATATAATATAGACAGCATGATTTTGAATGGGGATGAGGCTTTGAAGGACACTATATGTGACAATATTATTTTAAATCATTTAGAAGACCCAGAGTCAACCTCAGAAGATCTGCCACTAATTGATGGACAAGAAGAGGAAGACTCACCTCAGACAGATGAAGAGGAGCAACCTAACTCAAATGTAGGAATGGGTCCAATGGGGAACGATGACCAATCAACCCTCCCCACAGAGGAGGAGCTTATAGAAGACACTTGTACAAGTCCTGATGATAATCTTGCTCAAGAATCTACAGAGGCAAACACTGGATTAGAGTCAAAAGGATCTTATCCTGATGAGATTTTGGGAGAAGCCACCAATGAAGCTGATGCTGGAACAGAGGAGGAAATAGGCTCAAATGCTGAATGTGAAACAAGCATAAAACAAAAAGAAAATTCAGATGATGACTACCAAACCACTGAGACAGAGGGTACAGAGGAAACATCTGAGACTGTATGTGATGCAAGGGAAGAAGATAAAGAACAAAATGAGGTGGTAGACATAGAGATCATGGATGATAACTGTCAAATCATTCCCTTTGAGAAAGAATGCAATGAGGAGGTTCCTGATTCTCCTGAAGAAAAGTTAGGTGGAGATTTGACTTCTGAAGGAATATCAGATCATAACTCACCTTTTGATTTTCAAGAAGATAATGGGCTTCAATGTGACTTAGAGCAGGCAGAAGCATCTAAGGCAGATATTTTCCTTGGAGACGATAACACAAATGTATACACTTTGGAAGACACCCAGTCAGATAACCACATGCTTGAAGCTGATCAAGGCAATTATGGAGAAATTGCCCCAAATACACCCACTGAAAAATCATCCGGAGATACCTGGAGTTCTCCAGGAGAGACAGACCAGTGCTATCAAAGGAAAACTGAAACAAACAGTGAATATGTGATCGAGGAAGGGTCAGTGGTTCCGGAAGTAGTTGTTGTTTCTGGAAATGATGACAAAGTAGTCTGTGACTCCTTAGATGACCCATATGTGTTAGGAGACAGCTTGCCTTCAGCTAATGAAACCTTTTATGCTAGAAAACAAAGGTGGGATTCTGGTGTTCAAGACAGTTCAACTGATTTCAGAGAGGGAACAAGTACTGACAGTGAAAACCACTTGCTCTCTCTTGATCGGAAGAGCATTGTTACTAGAACAAGGTCCCTTTCTGGAAAGGTGCCTGGCTGTGTACCAGAAACAGTTCCAGAAGAAACAGGCCCAGATAACGAACCTTCAAGCATAACCACAACTGAACATTTAGGGCCCAGTTTCTGTCTGTCAGATGGAAAACCCATGGAATTGAGCAGAGCGTTGCCTGCAAAGCCAAGGCACTTTGTTTTATATCCTCGATCGTATTCAGTAGAGGGCAGAGATGTTGCTGTCCCTGTATATGGAGAAACTGACAATTCAATATTGGATTACAATAGAATAAACAGGACAGATGACCTCTCTTTACCATGTGTAATAGCTTCCTCAGGTAGCTTTTCCCAGAGAAATCATCTCCCATCCAGTGGGCTTTCTACTCCATCCTCTGTTGTTGATATCCCACCTCCTTTTGAATTGGCTTGCATCACCAAGAAGCCCATCACAAAAAGTTCACCGTCACTTTTGATAGAGACGGAATCTCCAGATAAGTACTGCAAGAAAAAGAAGTCCTCTTTTAAAAAGTTTCTCACCTTAAAGTTCAAGAAGAAGACTGAAAATAAAGTCCATGTGGATGTTCACATTTCTTCATCAAGGTCCTCCTCAGAGTCTAGTTACCACGGACCTTCTAGAATCATGGAACTGGATAGAAGGAGCCTGAGTAGTTCTCCTCAGCTCATATCACGGACTGGAAAGCTGAGGGCTTCTGAGTCCCCAACTGTTCTCTTCTACAAGGATGGCAAAAGGAAAGGAACACCCAAAACTTTCAGCAGAAGTGTGTCAAGGGTGGAATCTTTTGAGGACCGTTCAAGACCCCCTTTCATGCCTCTTCCTTTAACTAAGCCTAGGTCTATTTCATTCCCTAATGCTGACACTTCAGACTATGAAAATATCCCCGCACTGAACTCTGATTATGAAAATATACAAATTCCTCCACGAAGGCCTGCAAGGGCTGGAACCTTTACGGAATTTTTCGAAGATCCCAGCAGGGCATTATCTGCAGCAAACGAGAATGATGGTTATGTGGATATGAGCAGTTTTACAGCCTTTGAGAACAATAAGCAGCAACCTACCAACCAGGAAACAGAAAGGTATTGTAACTCTTATTTATGTAAGGCCAGCTAGCCTTGACCGGAGGAGCTAGACATCCTGTCTGTTAGGTCTTGTAGGCATATGCTCAACATTGCCTTGCTTAGCTCACTTTTTCAGGAAATGCTTTCTACAAAGTGCTCGGAAGAGTACAAGGTTTTTCAAAGGGGGGGGGGCAGTGGGAAAAAAACCTAGAAAGTTTAAATATGCTTTAATACAGGTGTGAGGAAAGTATACTCTGTGGGCTGTATGTGTTTGCCAGGACCACTTACCTGGCATTTCTCTCCCCGCTTCCCCCTGTTTTGCTCCAAAATGCTCCCCAAAGCCTTCAAGGGTCAAATAATTTTATTTATGTTTTTGCAAAATGTTTCACAATTTTTTTTCTCCTCAAATGCCCTCTAGGGAGTATTGGGCAAATGAGGCCTAATATACTTAGAGCACAAATATCTATATAACAGAGTACATAGGAAATAGTATGTTATTGTTAATTACTGAAACATCACATATGCTGTTATGTAACAGGCTGTTTTATATACAACATTCAAATACCATTCTTATCTCTATTATAGGTAAATGTCTGTATTTACAGAATGGCATATCAATTTTGTGTATGTTAATGTTTTCATATATATGTATGTAATGCCAGAGACTTAACTCCTATTAAAATACCAAGCAATATTGGAAGGAACAGAGAAGAACGGATTACCTGAGGAAGCTGTACCCATAACAAATGTCGAAACAAGGAAACACTACCCGAGATATCTTGTAGTAACCTCTGTGACCTCTTAGAACTCTTCTCTGATACTACTACAACTTCTTATGTAACAAACAGTCCTCCAAGATACTTAGGATTGATTTTTTAACAATCAGACAGATCCTGTCAATACATTGGACCTCTGAATTACCTTTAGTAAGAAGAGATGGTTGTCTCCCACTTTAAATTTATGTAAATACAGACATTTACTTGTAATAGAGATAAGAATTGTATTTGAATGTTGTATGTAAAAAGACCTGTTACATAATACCATATTGATATTTCAATAATTAACAATAATACGCTATTTCCTATGTTCTCTAAAATGAGGCCTAAAGCACTATCTACTCACTTCTTGTCAAAAGGTGGGGTTCGTGGGTCATAAAGACCCCAAAACATAATGAAAATGCTTCCTTTGCTCCTCTGTGGTCATTTGGGAGCAATATTTTAAAACCTTTTGTGTAGATAGAGTTGGAGGGTGCAACCTACTAAGGTATGCTGGGGAGCTAATGTATCTATTGTAATGTACCCTTCTTGCTTTAATTGTGTGCACATCAATGCGTCAGACATGTTTGCTCAATTTTATTCTGGCAAATGCTTCTGTGCTGTTATTTTATTAAAAGGTATCATTTCAATGGGCTTCGTGGCTCTTCCCAGTATTTTGCAATGAAATGTGTGAGACCTCCGGGGCAGAACCTGCCTCTTTGCTGCCACCCGGCATCTGACACTTCTGTCTTTTCCATGCCCTTGGTCTTGTCGGGTTCTCTGTGGTCATGACCAGTTTCCTTTGCCCACAAGGAAAATAATAAATCAATAGTATAGACGTTTCCCCAAACTCAGCCATTATGAACTGTTCAAAGCCCTAATAATCAATGTTTAAGAGCGCTTCTGAGTGAAAGGCACTGTGCTTTAGGACACTAATGCAGTTGTGTTTGTTTTGATCATGTAGGGGAGAGGGAGGGAGCAACCCACCTGGATTTAACATTGAGTTGCAACAATGGCATTCAATGGGATGAATACTTTATTTTCCCACAAAGTATTTTTTTTCTTTTCGTTTCTTTGGCAATATTTGTATTCAAAGTTTTTAACTGGGGAAAACCTGTTTACTTGCAAACAAGTCTTTGTGTATCATAAGTACTTATTTCATCACCTATTATGAACTATCCAACTTCATCGTTATATGTATATTGTTTTATTAAGTACTAGCCATCCCCTGCCACGCATTGCTATGGCCCAGTCTGTATATATATGTGCGATGCGTGTGTATATATTTGTGTATATATGTATACATGTTTGTTTGCATGTGTGTGTGTGTGCATGCGTGTGGTTATGTACATGCATTGCAATGTATTTTTATTTTTTGGCTTTTAAAGTCCCTTCCGCTGTGTTTTTCAGTGTTTTTATGAGTGATGGTCACTCGTTGGCCTTGTAGGTGTATTGTGTCCAAATTTGGTGTCAATTCATCCAGTGGTTTTTGAGTTATGTTAATCCCACAAATAAACATTACATTTTTATTTATATAGATAAGCTAGGCACCCACATATACCTTTAAAATATTTTGAATTTAATAGTTGGGACCGCATAGATGTGGGTGAAACATCAGGAGAGAACGCTTCTGGAACATGTCCATACAGTCCAGAAAACTCATAGGACCCAATATCTACTGTTAATTGATTTGGGATTTGGGGACTGCTGATGCCAAAGCTATCTTTTTCAAGCTACGATGCTCGATATAAAGGCACATAAATATATAAGGCCGTGTGTTAAAACACATAATAGTTTTGTGTGGACCCTGTTTTTTCAGTGGCAATACCTCTATTGAGAAAAGTTTGTGTTCCTTAGTATTGTCGTTGTTTTTTATTGTTGCCCAAAGTGGGTAAAATACACCCCACTTCAAGGTGTCCCCTATGGATACAAGATGAAAATATGGATACAAGATGAAAATGGCTGTGACTTAGACACATTTATTAACTTTCTGTGGAAGTGTGGAGCTGCGGAGGAGAGCCAATCAAAACTGCTTCAGGAAGTTTCAGCATTAAATTCAAGGTTGCTTACTCTGGATGCCAGTTCTGGGATGATGGGAGAGCGAGGGAGGAAAAAATTCTGCATTTCAACTTTTAAAACACACATTTAAAATCCAATAGAATGCAAGAAGCAATAGTTTTCTATAAGATTCAGAAAAGATATAGCTATCTTTAATATATCATGGCCAGGATTTTGTTTGTGTCCTACATGGGCATAAGAGCAGCTTGCAAGTACATAATTTCCTTTTCTGACAGGGAGCCAAGGGCTTCTGCTCTGTCCAAGGTTTTCTTCCATTCTGCCACTTTCAAGCCCCAGAGGAGTTAACTGCTGTTGCTTTTTGTCAGATGGAAGGGGATGGGAGACAATTCAGACCATGCAGATCTGGTGGCCCTGGGTTCTCAGAAGAAGAAAAACATGGGTGGGCACCATTTGAGAGACCATCCTCATTTCTTTCCGCTTTCTAAACAAGCTGAAACCAGCTGCTTCCTGTGGTATCAGTCAACTCCCCTTTCTGTTCCCTCCCGCTACAGCAACAAAGGCCCTTCCAAGCCTTATAGTTTTCAGGCAATGGGAAGCTATGCAGGTTGAGCTGTACTTATGTGTGGGATCACACCCTATGTATGTGCTAAGCAAGGGCCTTTTTCATTGAGATGTTCCTTGTCAATGACTGTAGTGAAATCTACCTTTTAGGCGACCAGGCCGAAGCCTGAATATCAGTAGCTTTCATCTTGAAAGACAGGCAGAAGCAGGAGGAGGAGTCAAGCCGACTCCTGATTGGTAGAGCAATTAGGGGAGGAGTCGGTTGAGAGAGGGAAAAAGGCTGTCAGCTTTTGACAGAGGAGAGAGAAGTGTCTTGACATCAGACACAGAGGGATAGGATTTTAAGAGAGGAAGCTAAAATAGGGTTCTGACAGGAAAAAAAGCTAGAAAGTGAGCCTTAAGGTTAGGGAATAAGGTTGAGACAAAGGCTAGGGTTTTACTGTGTTAAGAGGACCAGTAAAAGAGAGTTTTGTCTTATTAAACTTAGGAGAAGTTTAAGATATCTTATTGCCCTGTGTGTGAGACAGACAGGAGTCTGTTCTCTAAGAGATACTGTTTCTAGAATAGAACAGTGTGTTTAAGGAAACTCACAGTTTTAAAAGCTTTTTGGTCAGTAGAACTAACTGTTTAATCCAACTAAGTCTCTACATCTGAATTACGCTTCTGTACCGCTCATTCTATGAGTAGATGTTTGTTTAAAGCTCAATAAACTTTTTCTAGTTCACTTTTAGCTGTTGTAAGCCTCAGTCTGTCAAGCACTTTTAAAGTCCAGTCAGCCAGTTAAGGAGTAATAGAAGATACCCAGGGCAAACACACCTTTACCTACAACACATTCACACCTTTGGTTCCTCAGACCAATAAAGCTGAGGTGGCGGCGGCTAATACTACCAATAACATCGGTCATTTATAATACTTTATCATCCCTTGCTTTAGTGGCAGCGGTGGGATTCTTTGTTCCCCCCTGCCCTAGATATTTTGAATTTTACTACACTGGTGGCAGCGGTAGGATTCTTGGTTCCACCCTGCCCAGATAGCTTTAATTATACTACAATGACATATTACAGAATCACATGGCATCTTTTACACCAGGGGCCCTCAAACTAAGGCCCGGGGGCCGGATAGGGCCCACCAAGGTCATTTACCCAGCCCTCGTTCAGGGTCCACCTAAGTCTGAAATGACTTGAAAGCACACAACAACAACAATCCTGTCTCATCAGCCAAAAGCAGACCCACACTTCCCATTGAAATACTAATAAGTTTATATTTGTTAAGATTGTTCTTCATTTGAATTATTGTATTGTTTTAAAGTGTTTTTTGCATTACAAATAAGATATGTGCAGTGTGCATAGGAATTCATTCATATATATATTTTCAAATTATAATCCGGCCCTCCAACAGTTTGAGGGACTGTGACCTGGCCCTCTGTTTAAAAAGTTTGAGGAGCCCTGTTTTACACATTACCTTAGAGGCAATGGAGAATGGTGGTTGCTGGTCTATAGTTAGTGGAAGAGGTCATTTATACTGCTGTGGAATATATCCTAACAGTCTTTAAGAAACTGGGTTGTTGTAGTTTTTTTTGGGTTGTATGGCCATGTTGTAAAAGCAGTCTCTCCTGACATTTCACCTGCATCTATGGCAGGCATCCTCAGAGGTTGTGAGGTCTGTTAAGAAAACCTCAAGACA